AATAAAGATTTTTAGAGTAAGTTTGAGATTTTGAGGGCCACAAATCATTCAAGGAAAGTATTTTCATATTTCACTTAGTCCATTTTGTGCTGCTATGTCAGAAATATATTTTTAAAATTGGGTTATTTATAAAGAAAAAAAATTATATCTCACAGTTCTGGATGGTAGGAAATCCAGTGTCAAGGTGCCAGCATCCTGTGAGTTCTTTTAAGGAGTCATCCCATGGAGGAAAGTGAGACGGTGAGAGGAGAGCCAGAGAGAGCCAAACTCACTTTAATAACAAACCCATTCTGGTGATAACAAACTCATTCCCTCATTAGTACATTCTCGAGGGCGTGTGACTTATTCACCTTTTAAGGATCCCATGCCCCAGCATGCCCTATGCTGAGGATATATTCAACATGACCTTGTGCTTACTTCATTTTACATTTTTGTTCTAGTGTTTCATGTAAGATTCCTATAAGTGGGATTGCAGGGTCAATGAATAAAAGTATATGTAATCTTTCTAGAATAAGTTTCCAATCCATGAACCTTGGGATATATACTTAAACTACAGCATTCCCTAAAATCAATTTTTATCTCCTTGGGGAAGATATTACCTTCATTAAGAATGCATCCTTTAAGGAAAAGGAGGGAATAGGGTGGAGGCAGCAGAGATGGAAACTAGATTCGTGCTATGGTATGCATATATCCTCCTAAATGCCAATGTTAAAATGTAATTACCAAAATGATAGTATTAAGAGGTAGGGGGGCCTTTAGTCAGTAACTACATCATGAGGGTAGAGCCCTCATGGACAGGAGGACTTACATTCTTATAAAAAAAGAATTGAGGCAGAGATTTTGCTCTCATCTGCTCTGCTACCATGTGGGAGACACAGCATTTTTCCCCCTTCAGAATATATAGCAACAAGGTGCCACCTGGGATGCAGAGGAAATTGTCCTCACCAGACACTGAACCTGCTGGCACCTTGATCTTGGACTTTCCAGCCTCTGGACCTGTGAGAAGAAAACCTCTGTCATTTATAAGTCACCCAGTCCCAGGTATTTTGATAGAGTAGCACAAGCAGTCTAAGACAACTCCTCTGGATACTTTTGTTTAAGGACTTATTGTGGTACCAAGTAAATGCTTTACATAGTTAATTAAAAATTAAACTTCAATAAAAAACCAAAATCAATCTCCAAAAATAAGACACAAAAGAAAAGGAATTTTGAATCTTTCTCCTGAATATAAACATTCTAAGAACAAAAGTAATGGCAAGGAAATCTGAACCTACCCTCAATAATCATATTATTATTTTTCTTTTTTTCTTATTA